TACGATTTACCGCTACGCCGTATGCAAGTTTCTTCAGCGATCATCGTTTCTTCTCAGTTTGAAATGATTCAGTGTAAACCATTAATTTTTCCGGTATTCATACAAATAAGGTTTTCTCGTCACAGGTTGATTCGTTTCGAACACTTTTCAATTGTTACAGTGGATACGAAATTCGGCTTTAATTGCACTTGTTGGTTACATTGGGAAACAATCAGATGTTTCCTTCAAGTAAATAAAAATTCCTCACTCATCTTCGTGTTCGGACTTTCGGGCATCTTTGCACTAATTTTACATGTTTTTCGAGCACCTAGAGNCCTAGAGGAATTCATTGATTCTTAACGGAACCCAATCAGTCGGCCATATGCGACCAGACTTTACCCCGAGGAAAATTTACTACAGACATGGTTTTTTTAATGTGGAGCACAAAGACAAAGTAACCAGCAACGACTTCACATTACGTTTCCAGAAATCGATGGCCAAGTAATGAATGAAGATGAATTCAAGCAGGTTGATTAATCAGCATACAGAAATTAGACCGTAATCCCAGGCCACAATTTCCACAGAATAATATGAACGAACGAATATTGTAGTCATTCATTAGAGATGTTCCCTGAGAAATTTGTTGAGTTCCAGAATGAACTGCTCGTAAAGAATGGTTTCATATACATTTGTTCATATTTTATTTACTCACAGTAAACATTGAGTGGTTATTTTCATAACCATACAGATAACTTTAGTGTGCGCTAGATAAGCACATAATCCACATTCAAGAACTAATTTCGGACGATTACGTTTTACTTCTCTGTATTTCACTGGATGGCGGTGGCGCAGTGGTTTAGTCACTGTCACCGGTGTGCTTTGGACCCTATGATCCGAGGTTCGAGCCCCGTCATCACCACCTAACTTTGATGTTAGGCAGCTTTGCTGTCGTCCGGTTCAATACCACCACTCCAATTCCCGAGGCTTAGGCTACCGGTTCCCATCACTAAACAGCAGATGTACGTGACTATGGGGTTTACCCCGTCTGCTTTTCATCACACGGAAGTGTGTAATATCCGAATAGTGGTTCCAAGTTCATCGCGCAGTAAAAATGTACTATCTGATAATAGTTGTACGATAAACGGATGAGAGGTTAGTAACTTGTGCCACTTACGCCACATAAGCGCATTTAGTATCGGAGGATAACATATCTGTATCACCTGTCGCGCTTACGGAATTCCCAAATGGAAACAGTCAAAGCCATTTTCTCTATGAATATACTCAGATATAAACTGCAGCTGTTACGCAACTACATTTGGCAATATTCCCTCCCTTCCTCCCTGTATCACACAATCGAATTCATCGTTAAACGACGTATATGTGATTTATTCCACGATTTTTCAGGCATATACTCATGAGTTTATATAGAACAATCAGTGATTTATCATATTTAACCCTGATTGACCTCTGTATCTTCGATCACTTTGATTTGTTACGAATTAGGGCAACTCAAATTAAAAACCGATTGACTATAACAAGATGTTGGCTTTCAATTGTTCATCCGCTTGAGAAACGTTTCACTTGACCTCAATTACTGAAGTACTTTTGATCAAATCCATTGACCCCAAAGACTTCGCTCAAAAGGATTCGCTTATGACAGTTTATAAGTGGTAAGTGAGCGTTTTGAAATGTTCCGCGTATATTTATCGAACGATGAAGGAGGACAGACCAGAGGAAATGGCGCGAGCATATGATTGCGTGTATCAGTTCCAGTTTATCGCAAATATTAATTGATTTCAAAGTAAAGCTGGACGAGTAAAGTATTTGCTGTATGCATCTCAATGAGTGGCTGCCTTTGATAGCTGTTAAATAGTATTGAAGATATTTGTGATTAGGAAGTGAATAGCTCAGGGTTGAAGAAATTTGGAAATAGTATCCAATACACCATTAGCTTTTAGTTGAGATATATGGTTTATACACTACCTCTATCAAAGTAAATGTATAACGCGGACCTTCAATTTCACAACAAACTGATGATAAAAATATAGAAAGTTCACAATAAATGTGATTTATGATCTAATAACATTTTTCGATGCATAAGTTCACGACCGTAATCAATAACTAGCGGTAAACGTGAACTTTTGCCTGATCAGGATAGCCGAACCAGTGTGATGGAAACCCTCATGAAATGACGGTCCAAATCCATTTTGGTGTCCCCCCCACCTCCCAAATCGCAACTCATTTGTTTCCCTACGGCGAGCAAAAGCGCCTTATGCGAATAAAAGCCTTCACTAACAATGAGGCAAGCCCAAACCATAACAAGGTTTGTCAATGTATGATTATGGAAAGAGTCAAGTTGAGAGAACAGGATAACGGTTTGAAGTTCGTTTGTTCAATAGCCGCTTTCTCTGGAAATTTCACTGACAGTTTCAAAGTCATTACAAGCCGTTTTATTTAGAACTAATTCTTTTCTAAAAAGCGTTTATCAGACTATTTAATAAATAATACGTTAAACGACTTAGTTTTGGTATTAAAGCAACAATCGCCTCGGCAATTTATAGCTGAAAACAAATTATGCTGTTCCAGATGATGAACAAAATTTCGTTGGTTTCTTCTCTAATTTCCCAGTCTAGCTTCTTACAAATCATCGGTTACATTTCCTTGTTAAGTCAAATACGATAGATGAACGCTTCCTGTTGCATACCCTGGTTTGTTCGTCCAACAAAAATGAAATTGACATCATTCACGAACTAAGGGCACATTTCTATCTAGTTCAAAATGGATCAATTTCAACTTGTCCTACAGTTTCAAAAACCTAATGATTACCATTTAAATGTACAAGCGAAGCTGTAGATTTTCGGGGTTGTCTGTCAATCATTATTCCTAAAGGATTTTGAGTCTTATGTGTACTTCAGGGTGTATTGGGCGAGTACTCTTATCTGCTCATTTTTTTAGCTAGTAAGCTGACTAAAACAGTCGGACAAAAACCAGTCATTTGCTGTCTTTGGAAGTTATGTTGAAGGGTGAATACCTTCTCGTACAGTTAGATGTAATAACTGCCGCCCATCTGTACTCAACATAGCATGGCTCCGAAAGATCCACTTGAAGGAAAAAGTAATAGTTAGCTGAATTAAAGATTTTGTTGCATCAGCATTATTAGAATCGATAAATAGCAAATCACAACCATGAATGTTCACAACCATAAAATGTTAGAGGAACAAAGCATACGACTCCTCTCCATATCCCACGCCAGGGAGTTTGGAGATAAAGCGCTGTGACCATCAGATCCAATTTCGATGATCCATTCGTCGTTTTCTGGTCCACAGATTCCAAAACTGTCGGCCATAGTATGTCCCGGCTGGGATCACTTCGGTATCCGGGACTTTCGGACAATTGGCTGTACACGTGCGCTCGTACAATGAGCCGTGACAACACAGACCGGGCTGGCAGTCCACATCAGTTGTGCAATGCGCACCACGTTTGCCACCTCCCACTGTTTCTGTATCACTTAGTTGACATATCACTGTCGAGGCAAGTGCGGGAGGGAGGATGGAAGCATTATAGAGGGTTTTGAAGACGTCATTTTCACGTAAGTTATGGAAACGTAGAGTGATAGGCCAGAGACTTATCAATAGGCAGTGTGTGACAACTGATTTACCTCACCATTTAAATTAGGACAGTATATTAAATCCTCTGGGCGAGTTTGACCCTTGTGACACACTGTGGTTCTCTCTGTGTCTGCCACATTAAGATGCAGTGGTCAGTCTCTCACGCTCGCGTGAGACAACAATCAGTTCACAAACCGGATGGAATCAGAAAAAAAGTCTGAAAAACAAATGATCACACATCCACGACTCATTCGTTCATGATCAGTGGCGGTTAAGGTTATCATTATTATCGACCGGGAGATGGTAAGTTCAGACCCCGAAACCGAGGCAGAAATGTTTCGTTCTGCGCTAGCAAGGAGCGCCGGATTGGCCGCACCCCTAGATAACCGTTTCAGATGAAGTGAGTAAGAAGTATATGGTTAATGGCGTGGTGCCCGTTCTGTACCAGTAGACAATCTCCGACTTTACATCAAGTGATGCTAGACAAGAAAAATGACAGAACAGTAAAGTTTTTTTTCGCATTTAAAATGAGTAGGAACAAGTTTATTTGAACCTCATGAAACAAATCTAACAAACTAAATGTGAATAAATTTCTTGGTCGGACAGTTGCACTAAAATAAAAAGATATCTTGTTTAAATGCATCAGTTACATCAAAAGAAAGGGAAATTTGCTTCAGAATGGGATGATCAAATTAAACTGTACTGCTCGATGTTCTTTTTACTTATATCACCGATTCTCACCAGTTAGGGGTTGAAAGAGCAACAGATTACCGCAAATTGGGCTTGCCTGCCCACATAAAACACACATCCCAGTACGGTTCACAGAAAGTGAATGCATTGTTCTCTTTAATCATTAATTGAAATAGTTATGAGAATAACTTCTAGAACAAGTGTTAGGTGTAAGTATTACAATATATTCCGAGTACGAAATAAGAATGAGTGAAACATTATCAACCAAATACTGAAAAACAACAACAGCAATTCACTGTTTTACTGCTATTGAAAAGCACCTAAAAACGCCACCGCGAGAAATTCCTCACTTGGATTGTACAGTGTTATGATGCATAAAAGGTGGTATAGAATCGATGCTGTACTCACGTTGATCAGAGCATGTATATTCTGGACAGCAGTTGACATCGGAGACACACATATCTCCCGTCATACCACACTAAAAAATAAACGGGAATGAGACAATTTGTTTCATAAGAACATAGATCTTATTCCTTGTCGATTGAACAAACCAGATGGCGATTAGATTCATCCAATGATCGTATTTGGCATTTTTAATACTTTTATGAGTAAAACTGATTCGGAGCTAAACACAGGGATTCTGAATTACAGGGGTTGGACCATCTTAAGCCTAAGTCAGTCTAGGGAGGACGGTGAAGTTGGTATGAAGTGGATTGGACTGAACCACCACAATGGTGAATAAAGCCTACCATTGTGAGACAAAATGCACACTACTTACTTTGCGCATAATCGAGTTCCCGCCGAGCAAATTCTCGTAGGCCCGGCTAGCCGCTTCACCGGTAATAATGGTACATAACAGTACACCGAATAGAACCAAAGACTTCATCTCGCTTCTTGGGAAATTGCTGTTCAGTTCTGAATTTGGCAGGTTATAAATTGCTCACGCAGATAATTTTTAAGCATCTGAGTGGTTGCGTGTTGTGTTTTGTTCCGCGTCAGCCTGTCCTGATAAAGAAGGCCAAATCCACAAGTGTGTCCGGGTCACGCTCAGTCCAAACAGATGGGCTTGGAAAACTCACCGACTCCCTAGTGTCCTCGATTCACACATACACACACACACAATCCCAGACCGAAGAATATACACCGCGGACCGGGTCGACGACCAGGGTGGGTGAATAAGCCGGTTAGGTAGGAACGAGTAGGAGTGAGTAGACAACTCAATTGTGTCAGACTCGTGAGTGATCGAATTGTGTCGTAGTCGGTTTGCCTGATGTTCCTCCGGTAGCTCACTATCGGTGAGAATGAGGAAGAGACTGTGGGATTGGTGTGTACGTGCTTGTGCATGCAGGGGAGCTATCATACGTGTGTGTATGTCGCAGAGCGGTAGAAGAGGCTGACGCCAACCGGATAACCATTGGTCGGCCCGACTCCCAACTCACATCCGATCCGGGGAGAGAACTCAGTACGAATAGAGAGAGAATCAGGCAAGAAATATCCATTCGACTCGATGGAGAGTAGTAGGTAATAAATTATACCATTATACCATCGAAGTGGCGTGATAAGCGAACGCAAAACGCACTTATGCAATCGCTTTACTTTTAGGAGAAACGTTTTGATCGTATCGTATCTCACGGTTGCCTGTTCGAGTATTTGAATTATGCGATCAGTTGGAGCAGAAAACGAAAGAAAGATTAAAAAAAAATGAAGCAAAAACTACCCCCGCCAAACTAGAAGCATCACGGGATGGGATTAGTTGTTCGATCTAGATTATAAATAGAGCAAAACATACTCTTACGAACAGCACAGATCGCTATCTCAACTACCAATTGTCGCTTTTAGGACAAAATGATGCAATTTTATTTTACCCACGATTCGCTGTAAACTAAAGTAGGTGCTATAAACCGTTTGCCTCGGTTAGTAAACAGCAATCACTGAAAACGAGCTAGAAAAACCTTCCAATAAGATGTAAACTTCAAGATATATCTCCTTGCGCTGGAATGAATATTTAGTGGTTGCTATGATTTTTTCCAATTAATTCATCACAGAACTGAATTCATATCCATCAAACAGCACATTTATTTTGTGGTTCAGTTATTCGAGGTTTAATACTGATTCAACTAGTGGATAGACCTTTAATTAAAATAATCCTGGTGGGAGCCAATATGAGCTAGTGTTCAATATTTAAAGTACCCTATAATTTTGCGTAGCATTGTGGTCGAGTATAACCTTCTGACACTTTTGAAAAGCCAACAGTGTTTTCATACAGAGCACAATAGCCAATCATAGGTGACTGGGAGAATTGGATGATAGAGATCGTGTGCTTCTCTGCAAAAATAACTCCTGCCAACTGGTCACTTTGAATTCATTTTTGTTGTTTTGATGAAACTTACTGTAAACCATAGGGTTTACAGAACTGGCAATTTGCTGAATTCTAAGGATAAGAACGAACACTTGCCACGGTGGAAGGGGGGAGCAATGCGGTAAAGCACTAATAAACTATACAATACATTGGAAGAAACAACACAATTGACAAAGTACACACTAGGTCTGTATAACCAGGATTACAGATTGATAGTTTTTAACCAAGAATGAGCAAAGTGAATTTTCTTGTGTTTAAAGTATTGTTCCAAAGAGGTATTGAAGTTAGAACACGTCTTCGCTACTAAACATTACCCCAATATAACCCTAGAGGACATTCTACAAATAAGTAATAAAAATCTTTGTCATGGCCGACAAAGAGCACTGGACAGATGTCTCGGCCTGTTTGGGATTTGTCAGAAGTGCGTAATTTTGTTGTCTCTGTTAGGACGCGAACGGCGAACAATCGGGTCAGGACTTCAAACCCTTATCCCTGAGGTACACGGTCAGCGGTCATCACCTTGTCCGAACGAATCAATCAATTTAGAGTATCAAGTTTGCATTAGTCCATTCGATTGTTCACAGGCACCAGACACTCTTGATGGTCTGGTGTTTGCATGCATTACCTCGTGGGGATTAACTATCTCCCAAGGAGTGAAACCCACACACAAGACCATAAAGAACGCCTAGTGCTCGTGAACAACCGAATGGATGATTTCGAATTCAATACTATTGACATGATACCGAAGTTTAAAAAACGCATTCAATAAACTGAGTTTCTTTGGAATTGTTCATTTGACTTCTTATCCAAGGGTTGAATTTTGTGATTGCTATGTTTGGTTTTGGTTGACAAAAAGCACAGGAAAGCTATTCGCTATTTGGTAAAACAAGTTCAGATGACAACTACTTTGTCCTGCCGGGATTCGGAGTTTTGAGTTTTGGAGCAGTATCCCCTAAGAATCCCACCATTGGATATTGATGAATGAGTACGCTTAAATGTGGCTGCGCTTCTGAGTGACGCTCGTCAGAATGCAACGCATTTTCCTGCTTGACATGAAGAGAAAGACAATAGACTTTCACTATGCTGGTAGTTGAAACCAGTTGCACAAACCTCGCAAAGCGGAGTATCATTTTGTAAGTGATCGAAACGTTGTCCCACGTTCGATGTCAACTTATCTTTTGTTATAATTGAAATATTGTACCCTTGTTGGGTGCTAGAAAGGAAATTGCACATCCGGCTATTTACTGCTTAGCGGAACCCGGGCATGTGAGATTATGGGTATCAAAAGTTTCAATGAGCAACCTGGCCCAGTTAGAGTACCACAATGCGCAATCTCTTATGTTAGAAGTTGGTAGGCTCTATCATAGAGCCCACCTCGGTGGCCTTGAAATAACGGATGGTACTTGTGATCTTGTATTTTCCAGTTTGACTAGACACAGACGACTTCTGATGTTTGTGAGTAAGCTTAAGAGAGAGGGAGAGAAACAAATTGCGCCATTATTTGTAGTTATGATGTTTGGCATGCGAATTTTGCACTACTGGTACGGTTTCAAAAGTCAAACAGAGAGGTTGAGCAAGCCGTTGATTACAGGTATGCTCGTCTTTGATAAATGCAAGTTTGTTACTTAATCATAACAGTGGGTCCCTACTGAGCATTTATCTTCCACGGATTTGACCCGCACAGCTTTGGCTTGTATTTTCAAAGTAAGGGATGAATGAATATTATACTAAATAACTGCCGAGATTTATCGAGGATGGGTAAAGTGACTCGCTTTTATTCAAATTCCTATGGCGGTGGAGATATATACGGATGATGAATCAGGTACCAAAATCGTAACGCCTACGCTCCACATAATATACAGTGTAACCTGTATCCAACCGTGATGAGTAGGTTTCTGATAATTTCATATTTCTTTCAAACTGGATGCGATATAGCGTCTATTTATCAGAACTTCAAAAAAGAAAAAGAAAAACCAAATATTCTGTGAATAAACGTTTTGATATAATTCACTGTAAAATAAACTTTGGAAAAACATAGAAAAGGAGACGAGAAATTTTCGATGATCAGAAAAGCAATCTGATTTCAGTAGTGGAATAAAGATAGCTTTTAACTTGTTAATTCCAGTTGGGTTGAATTTGTTGAACACGAAAATGGATAATGAAAGGCCTAATTAGCACGTGAGTCTTGAATAAAGCGATGATCGAATATAAATCACTCAAATGAAATAGTCAACCGTAATAATAGGTAACGTGACAAAAAAGCAATGAGTACTTCGGATACTCCGAAAACCAAATTACAACTAGACTATAATAGCGTGCGAAGACTTCAAGTCTATGAGCTTGGTCAACTGGTGGAAAGTAGCTGTGTGTCGGTTGCGTCTACCGCTTGCTCATAGCTGCATCGCGTTTGAACACTTCACAACACACACTGACAACATTAACTAGAAAGGTGACTGACCTCAACTTTACCGAGAAATTTCCCGGCGGTAATCGATAGTCGAAATGGAAACTGCGGCAGGTCATCATAGCCGAACAAGAAAATCAAATGGAGGGAGCAGCGAAGTTGTTCACGTCCGGAATGAGTGATAGATGTCACAGCGAACAAGTATCACACGGTGGATTTGAAGCCCAGTTAACTTGTTCATTTTTATCGCATTCACTCCGATGTCGGTGACTCGTCATGTGTCCATGACCACGTTCTTTTGTTTAAAAACCATTGATCGATAGAAGTACCCAGAGCGTAGCTCACTTTAAGCCCTAGTTTAAACAAAGATTTCCTGTGCAATGTCGTCTGACCGTTTTGGTTGCTGTGTTTTGACTACCCATTTAGATGAAGTAGTAGAGGGGAGAAATATAATACTGGAAGCAGTGTCAGCTTAAACGTAGATAGGGAACTCATGTAGACTAAGTTTGCCAAGGTAAAGAGCAGATGCACGAGCGCCACTATTTACGATATTTTAACGTATCACTGATTGTTTTCAACCGTGGATTAAGGTCCTCAGCCAGGAAGCCTAATGCGATTGATGTGAGCAATTCTCCGAGTTTGAAATCAAAATTAGTGTACTGCTTAAAGTATTCCTGATTGTAACATTCCCATATGCGACAAGTTTAACTCGACTTTTAAAAATCTACCCAAGTAGTTTTGTATATCACCGGAGATATGACAGTCAAAACGGTTGAATAAAGAAGAAAACAAATCACACATCAGTGCTTTTGTTTAATTTGTAAATGGCTCATGATGTGAATATCGTTCAAAGAATTAGTCAAATACACGGAAAGAGTAAGCTTCGATCACGGGGCTTTGAATTTGCAATTGTTGTCCGGAATATTCGGAATCGATTTGTGTGAAACCTTATGCAGCGCATTACAATTATCCGTCCTGGTGTGTTGCTTTCTAATCGGTCGCGTCACCTTGTCATTCAACCGAGGCAACGAGGTTACTGATGTTGACGCATTCGAAAGAACCTTGATATGAAACGAAAAAAATGGATGAATGGATTAGCGATACTCAGCAACATTCAGAGTGC